AGCCTCGGAACTGGTCGTGGATAGGCACCATCATCAACCAACCAGTAAAGGCCCCTGTACACATAGATGGCAAAGAAATGCCCACTCTTGTGAGCATCTCCAGAGTGGCATAGCAAGCCAATCAACGAATACTGCTCAGTGGCCGTTGTGTTGCCATCTTTTGTAACAGGCAGGTTGAAGATGCTAGGGACTTGCAGAATTTGGTGATGCTTGGTCCACTCACCATTGACCCACCTGTATCGCCCGATTTGGGCAACCCAAAGTCCCTCACCATCGAAAACTTGACCTTCTGCTGTGTTGGCCCAGCTATTGATCAACTGCTCCAGCTCTTGTGGTTCACTAGATTCAGGGCAGACAAGGTGCACCGGGAAAGCCGCACGACGGTGGGCTTGCTGTCTGTGATCTACCTGAAAATAGTGCCCCAGCGTTGTCTTGGTGTCAGCCAGTGCGTTGAGTTCCATCAAGAACTGGGACGCATCTTCCTGGACTCTGTCATCGAACCTCTGCCAAAGCGGTTGGAGAGATTGGAGTTGAGGTAGTTGGACCACCTCATCATCTGTCAAAGCCATCATGACAGCCGCCGTGGTTTTGTTCCACAGAGCTGCCCCTCCCAGAAAACTACCAGCCCAAGTCCAGAGTCTAAAGGGAGAGTTGGCATAGCACCGATTGCGCGGATTGCCCAAGCGGTATTGTAGATTTTGCAGCACAAAATCCAGCGGAGACTGAGTGATGCGCTGCTCTTCAAAAGTTGATTGCTCTTGTTCATTGGATGCCGGGTCTACGTCCATGGGCTCTTCCATAGTCGGCCCGGCTCCGCCACAAAAACCAGGAAATGACGAGATTTCCTTGCCCATCAACACCTCAGTACAAGGAGGTGTCCATGCCCCACGCCCAGAGTGCAGACTGAGCTGCCCAGTCAAATCCTCTGAGCCAAAAACTGCATAAGATGGCTCAACTGCACATGCTGCCCCCAGCACCTGCTTTCCAGCCAAATATGCTGCCCCATGTTCGTCATGCTTGCTTGCAGGGTTACCCGCGCTTCCTCCTTTTCACTGCATTCTCGCTGAGTTTCTGTGCGAAAGTCGTCACCTGCTCTGCAGTGGCATGAACTCCTACATTGGACATGATGATCATGAGCTTTTCAGCTGAGATCTCGTCCGGATCAACATTTACTTCCTCAGCCGTCTTTTTGTCCTGCTCCAATTGCAAGTTGTATTGTGCTGTGTGTTCTTGAAGCTCTTTCTGCGCTCCTTCAATTTTCGCCTGGAGGTCTTTGAGTTCTTGAAGGAGAGCCGAATACTGCTGCTTGACCGCATCGGCTTTGCTCTGCAACATGGCCTTCTTCTCTGTGAGCTGCTTGAGCGTGCCCACTGACTGCTTCAACTTCGTGGCAATCGTCGGCTCGGGTTTGCTTGGCTCAACAATCTTTTCAACTGCTTCCTTCAGGTCTGAAGGCAAGCTAGCGAGATGTTCTTTCAACAAAGTTGGAAGATCAGGTGGCGGCGGAGGTGCATTGGCCTGGAGCCCCAAAGCCTCACATTGAGTCCGAAGACTCTCTGGCAAATTGCTCCAATGCTCTTGGACCGCCTTCTGGAGTGCCGTTTGCTTGCTCTTCTTGTTCTTCTTGCCAGGATTTCCGCCATGCAGGCCCGGCGGTGGCTCCAGAAGTGCCTCTTTGAAACTCTTCTTGGGCCATTTCTCCCCTTCTTGAGTGAAATTCCATGCTGCCCACTGAACTTGCCGTTTCTTCCTGAGATCAGGCAGAGCTCGTTGCCAGGCCTTCCCACACCCATTGCATGTGAGGTGCGGCTGCACATTGAGGCGGTCCTGCCAAATCCAGCTGCCTCGACAGCCCGAGCATACTAAATATGCTTTTCTCATGTAGGCAATCTTGTAGGTGCCCTCGTCCCGGTCAAAGGGTCCTTCTGGTGCTTCTCCCGGAGGAAGAGCTGGACCACGAAATGGCAGGATGCTACCTGTCCCTGCGTTGGCTTGAGGAAGCAAATGGCTTGAGCCAGTGCGTGGGTGCATGTATGTGTGTATGTATGTATGTAGGTAGGTAGGTAGGTAGGTAGGAAGGTAGGCAAGCAGGTAGGTAGGTAGGTCGGCGGGTGGGTGGGTAGGGTAGGGTAGGGTAGGGTAGGGGAGGGGAGGGGAGGGCAGGGCAGGGCAGGGCAGGGCAGGGCACGGGAGGGGAGGGGGGTAGGGTAGAGTAGGTATGTATTTCTGGTTAGGATGATCCTGGATTGGCCATCTTGCAATGCCTTTGCTCCACATGTACTGCATGAGATGCGCGAGCCAAGTTGCCAAAAAACGATGGAAAGCGTGACAGCCATGTGGATCACAGTACAGTAGGGCTGGTTAATGCAAGGTGTGGCCAGGAACGCATCGTTTTTCTCCTGCTTGGAGATGATTGGCAGATGGCGCGTTTCAAACAGCCCTTGGTCAACTCAAAGTGCGCAGCCCGACAACCTTAATCTTTAATCTTGAGTCTTGAGGTAGAACGTTGGGAGGCCGTTGAACCGCTTCTTCAGCTTGAAATTGTTCACAGTCTTCAGCCACTTTCAGGTTGATGGCGTCGAGTGTTAGGCCTTGGCGAATCCTGGTT